GTTAGGAGAAACGGTATGTTAGTGAAGGTCCCTTCGTTTTCCAACATTGCAGGACAGAGACGAGGTGCACACGCCCCCACACACCCCACCACACACACACACACACACACACATCTTGGATCTTGCAGAGCATAAACAGCCCTGCTGCTCCCACACTTTGGATATTTCCTCGATGCTACCTGTCTGCGACACCCCGCGCCATTCTCACTGAGAGATGTCCGCGTGCTGTGTTTGGGGATTCTGATGACAAAAGTGTCACCTCTTCTCCAGGAAGCTGCCCGGAACCCCAAGCCGCATCAGGTGTCCCTGGGGTCTCCGAGCACGCACCCATCACCGCGCCTGAGAGGAAGCTTCGCGGTGATGTTTGCGAGCACGTGTCACGTACATAACTTTGGAACGAGGGCTTGCATGAGCGTCTGGGCTGTCTCAGCACTCCCAGCAGGGGACAGCTGAACGGGAAAAGGTCATAGGGCCACTTTGTGTGCGGGGGACAGCTCCTGTCCCCCAGGAAGGAGAGAGAAGGAAGAGAGAAAGAGGAGAGAGAAAGGTACAGTGCAAATGTCAACATGCAAAAAAAGTGCGTCCTCAGAGAGAGAAGGCATGTGTGGTTCAGAAGCCAGATACGTTCTGGAAAACGTACAAGTGCATTTTTACGGAACTGAAATAGTTTCCTCAGGCAGAGCCTACGGGGGAGGCTGAATGATGCTCTCACCTCCTCCTTCCCCCAAAATGTCCAGGTCCTAATTACGGGAACCCGTGAATAGGTCACCGTATACGGAAACAGGGTCTTTATAGAGCTGACTACGGGTCTGGAGATGGGGAGATTATCCTGAATTACCCTGAATATAATCTCAGGGCTCTTTTCTAAGACGGAGGCAGAGGGAGATTTGAGACAGGTAACAGAGGAAGGTCATGTGACTACAAGGAACAGACTAGAGTGACGTGGTCACAAGCCCAGGGACGCCTGGAGCCCCCAGGAGCCAGAAGAGGCAGGAAGGAGCCTCCCCTGGAGCCTGCGGAGGGAGCGCGGCCCCGAGACACCTGCGTCTCAGACTCCTGGGCTCCGGGGCCGGGAGGGGACACATTCCTGGTGTTGGCAGCCACTTGGTTGGTGGCACCTTGTCACAGAAGCTGCAGGAAACTCACACAGAATAGAAACCTGAACCCTAAAGTCCTGTAAATCCTTGGTACCAGCCACCGTCTGTCACTGCCACTGTGACGCTGACGGCAAAGTCGCGTCATCTGCAGCGGGAAGGTTTGTGCCCTTCCAACACGTGACCCCACTTTAGGACTCGTAATAACCCGCTACAGAGAACGGCCCCAGCCGTGGGCAGTCCCCGCGCGCCACACCCACCAACCAAGCACGCGATTCTGCGCCCAGTGGCGTTGCTTCTGAGGTTGCAAGAGACGGAGCCCATTTTCCTTATTTCCGACTCAGTGGTAGACGATGAACATTCAGGCTCACAGAGACAACCGAGTCTGCAAAACGGTGTCTCACATCTAAAGGGGTTCCCTGAGGACAAGTCGGAAATAGAAATTTCTGAAGCAAATGCTGCCTAGGAGATGCGGTCAACCGTAGGGTAAGATAATAGCGTGCCTGGCGATACCATAATCATTAGGTAGAAAATAAATTCCTTTTGTTTGACGCTCTAGCAAATCTCCTGGCTCACAGGAACTGAATACTTCTCTGAGTGCTTCTACAGAATACACACACGACATCACTGTCGTGCACCCCGCCCCGTGCGCATGCTGGAATCCTAACCCTCGATGTGATGCTGTTTGGAGATGGGTCTTTACCATCTCCAAAGTGAGGTGATTAAGGTGAACTGAGGTCACTACGGTGGGCCCTGATCCAGCAGGACTGGTGTCCGTATAAGCAGAGGAGATGAGGACACAGACACGCACAGAGGGACAACCCCGTGAGGACACAGGGAGAAGACGGCGTCCACACGCTCAAGAGAGAGGGCTCAGGAGGGACCAGCCCTGAGACACCTTGATCTGGGACTTCCAGCCTCCAGGACGCGAGAGAACAAATGTCTGTGGTTTCAGGCATCCGGTCTACGGTATTCTGTTGTGGCATCCAAGCGGACTCATAAACTGTCTCTCGTGTAAAGTGGATATATAGAGCGATGCTTGTTGGAGGACTCTAGGGACATCAGTTATCCCCAATTCCTCAAGTTTTCATGGTATTTGAGAGGATTAACATCTCCGAGGGGCAACCCAGGGGTAGGACAGCTCACCTGGAGGGCCACC